GGTAGAACAATAAAATTCCATGAAATTTGGAAAATTTTGAAATGTCAAACTGATGTTTGAAAACCTTTAATTTTTAATTTTAAACTAAAAGTTAACAGCAAATTACCCAACAAAGTCCAATTACAAGTTCTACACAGGAAAATACATTTTTTTCTTCTACATTTTGCACTGGACACTGTCTTTTGTTTATTACAAGTCAGTTTTAACACATTTTCACCCCTGACTTGAATTGAATAGTCTATTCAATAGTATACCTCTGACTTAAATGGAATAGTCTATCCACATGTTTACAGTCTATCAATGACCTAGTTCATTATTGATTTACTCAAAATTTTAACAAAACAGGAATAATAGCAAATAAACACCTCTGATAATTACTTAAATATTACAACATGCTAATGAATTTGACTTTTTAAAAGCTTTTGATCAACAGTGAGCAACAAGTGGTATGTTGTTTCTTAACGTTGATAATATGGAAGACTCCATTTTGTCTGAACGGGTGTTCTACTTCTACCATTGCGTTGTTGACTATATTTTTTTAATTCAAATGTGCATATGATTTAAAATCATGCAACAACAATAACCCTAAATAGCAGATAAACACAGAAAGGACCTTTAGAGTTTCAAATCAATCAATGGAGTGGGGAATCGAGGTCAACCATTTAGGCTGATACCCCTCGAGGTCAAGAAAACTACGCATGCGCTAAATCACGTAAACAAACCGTTAGAATTGTAATTTGATTGAGGTCAATTGTAGGAAGGACGTAAATTATATGTTAGTTATCTGCCTTGATTGTGGTTCTCCATTTCTTTAAGGAAGTTCATAACGGTAACATATTAGGAAAAACACTACTTCAGTACTTATCTGACAGAAATAGGTTTATTTGGAACCATATTTAACAAAACCGCAGAATTCCCTCTTTGACGTGATTCTAAATATATAAAACCCTAGATATAAATACTGCTTAATTCTGATTTTCCGTATTGAAAAATAAACGCAAATAAAAAAGGCAGATATCAAAACATGAGGATTATGAGGAAACAATTAACGGAAAGTTGTTTAAATTCAATCTGTTTGTTTGTTTTTACTTTTTATAGCAGAAAATAGTAAGAATCTGAGTTGTTCCTTAATGTAAAGCACAAAACAGTTGACGTGAGAGCCTTGGAAGGGAGTCAATGGTAAAGGTCTACAGATTGCATGGCAGCAATCGTATCCCTAAAATGATAGTACCGTCACCTTTTGTGAGAGGATCAATTAAGAATGATATTACCGTCACATGCCTTAAGACAGGAACAAGTAAAAATGATAGTACCAAAACAAGTAAGAATGATAGTACCGTCACATGACTTGTGAGAGGAACAAGTAGGAATGCCAATAACGTCACATGCCTTGTGAGAGAAACAAGTAAGAATGATATTTCCGTCACATGCATTAAGACAGGAACAAGTAAAAATAATAGTACAGCACATCACTTGTGAGAGGAACAAGTACAAATGATATTACCGTCACATGCCTTGTGAGAGGAACAAGTTAGAATGATATATAATGTCATATGCCTTGTGAGAGGAACAAGTAAGAATGGTAGTGCCGTCACATGCCTTTTGAGAGGAACAAGTAAAAATGATATTTCCGTCACATGCCTTTTGAGAGGAACAAGTAAAAATGACTGTACCGTCACATGCCTTGTGAGAGGAATATATAAGAATGTTAGTACCGTCACATGCCTTGCGAGAGGAACAAGTAAGAATGATATTACCGTCATATGCCTTGTGAAAGGAACAAGTAAGAATGATAGTGCCGTCACATGCCTTTTGAAAGGAACAAGTAAAAATGATAGACATAGTACCATAACAAGTAAGAATGATAGAACTGTCACATGCCTTATGAGAGGAACAAGTAAGAATGATAGTAGCGTCACATGCCTTGTGAGAGGAACAAGTAGGAATGACAGTACAGTCACATGCCTTGTGAGAGGTACAATTGAGAATGACAGTACCGTCACATACCTTGTGAGAGGAACAAGTAAGAATTATAGCACTATCACATACCTTGTAAGAGGAACTAGCTAGAATGATATTACCGTCACACGCCTTGTTAAGGGAACAAGTAAGAAAGCTATTAACGTCAAATGCCTTGTGAGAGGAACAAGTAACAATGATATTTCCGTCACATGCCTTGTAAGAGGAACAAGTAAGAAGGATATTACCATCACATGCCTTGTGAGGGGAACAAGTAAGAATGAAAGTACAGTCACATGCCTTGTGAGACGAAGAAATGAGAATGATAATACCATAACATGCATTGTGAGAGGAACAAGTGAGAATGATAGTACCGTCATATGCCTTGTGAAGGGAACAAGTAAGAATGATAGTGCCGTCACATGCCTTTTGAAAGGAACAAGTAAAAATGATAGACATAGTACCATAACAAGTAAGAATGATAGAACTGTCACATGCCTTATGAGAGGAACAAGTAAGAATGATAGTAGCGTCACATGCCTTGTGAGAGGAACAAGTAGGAATGACAGTACAGTCACATGCCTTGTGAGAGGTACAATTGAGAATGACAGTACCGTCACATACCTTGTGAGAGGAACAAGTAAGAATTATAGCACTATCACATACCTTGTAAGAGGAACTAGCTAGAATGATATTACCGTCACACTCCTTGTTAAGGGAACAAGTAAGGAAGCTATTAACGTCAAATGCCTTGTGAGAGGAACAAGTAACAATGATATTTCCGTCACATGACTTGTAAGAGGAACAAGTAAGAAGGATATTACCATCACATGCCTTGTGAGGGGAACAAGTAAGAATGAAAGTACAGTCACATGCCTTGTGAGACGAAGAAATGAGAATGATAATACCATAACATGCCTTGTGAGAGGAACAAGTGAGAATGATAGTACCGTCACATGCCTTATGAGAGGAACAAGTAAGAATGATAGTGCCGTCACATGCCTTTTGACAGGAACAAGTAAAAATGACTGTACCGTCACATGCCTTGTGAGAGGAACAAGTAAGAATGTTAGTACCGTCACATGCCTTGTGAGAGGAACAAGTTAGAATGATATTACCGTCATATGCCTTGTGAAAGGAACAAGTAAGAATAATAGTGCCATCACATGCCTTTTGAAAGGAATAAGTAAAAATGATAGACATAGTACCATAACAAGTAAGAATGATAGAACTGTCACATGCCTTATGAGAGGAACAAGTAAGAATGATAGTAGCGTCACATGCCTTGTGAGAGGAACAAGTAGGAATGACAGTACCGTCACATGCCTTGTGAGAGGAACAAGTAAGAATTATAGCACTGTCATATGCCTTGTAAGAGGAACTAGCTAGAATGATATTACCGTCACACGCCTTGTTAAGGGAACAAGTAAGGAAGCTATTAACGTCAAATCCCTTGTGAGAGGAACAAGTAACACTGATATTACCGTCACATGCCTTGTAAGAGGAACAAGTAAGAAGGACATTACCATCACATGCCTTGTGAGGGAAACAAGTAAGAATGACATTACAGTCACATGCCTTGTGAGACGAAAAAATGAGAATGATAATACCATAACATCCCTTATGAGAGGAACAAGTAAGAATGATAGTACCGTCAAATTCTTTGTGAGATGAACAAGATGGAATGACAGTTCCATTACATGCCTTGTGAGGGGAACGAGTAAGAATGATAGTACTGTCACATGACTTGTAAGAGGAACAAGTAAGAAGGATATTACCATCACATGCCTTGTGAGGGGAACAAGTAAGAATGAGAGTACAGTCACATGCCTTGTGAGACGAAGAAATGAGAATGATAATACCATAACATGCCTTGTGAGAGGAACAAGTGAGAATGATAGTACCGTCACATGCCTTATGAGAGGAACAAGTAAGAATGATAGTGCCGTCACATGCCTTTTGAGAGGAACAAGTAAAAATGACTGTACCGTCACATGCCTTGTGAGAGGAACAAGTAAGAATGTTAGTACCGTCACATGCCTTGTGAGAGGAACAAGTTAGAATGATATTACCGTCATATGCCTTGTGAAAGGAACAAGTAAGAATAATAGTGCCATCACATGCCTTTTGAAAGGAATAAGTAAAAATGATAGACATAGTACCATAACAAGTAAGAATGATAGAACTGTCACATGCCTTATGAGAGGAACAAGTAAGAATGATAGTAGCGTCACATGCCTTGTGAGAGGAACAAGTAGGAATGACAGTACCGTCACATGCCTTGTGAGAGGAACAAGTAAGAATTATAGCACTGTCATATGCCTTGTAAGAGGAACTAGCTAGAATGATATTACCGTCACACGCCTTGTTAAGGGAACAAATAAGGAAGCTATTAACGTCAAATCCCTTGTGAGAGGAACAAGTAACACTGATATTACCGTCACATGCCTTGTAAGAGGAACAAGTAAGAAGGACATTACCATCACATGCCTTGTGAGGGAAACAAGTAAGAATGACATTACAGTCACATGCCTTGTGAGACGAAAAAATGAGAATGATAATACCATAACATCCCTTATGAGAGGAACAAGTAAGAATGATAGTACCGTCAAATTCTTTGTGAGATGAACAAGATGGAATGACAGTTCCATTACATGCCTTGTGAGGGGAACGAGTAAGAATGATAGTACTGTCACATGACTTGTGAGAGGAACAAGTAGGAATGATGTAACTAACAAAATACAATGGTCAGGGAGAACAAGATGAGAGCAAAACGCTCCACCTGTTGATAGTCAAAAATACAATAAACAGGTTGAGGAAAGTATAAATCGGATGACAATGAGAGAAGTTTATTTAAGGTGATTGTGATCTTTAATCAATTAATTTTCATCCATAACCTACTTCATTTTTCCCATCAATTTGTTGTTTGTTTGTTTTGTTTTTTTTTCATTATAAGCAGATATCAAGGTTTCCATATACCAGAAAATAGTAAATATTATTTATTCAAGCCAGCATCAAAATAATTAACATAATGTGATTACCTTCAACTACTGGGGCTGCAGGTTCCCGTGATTGGGTGTCAGGAGTTACTTCTGGGGATGTCTTTGACATGACAGTCTACAAAAGAAAAATATGCTTAAACTATCATGCTCCATGTGAAAACTTGACAAATAGTTACATCTATCTTAAGTATAAATAAGAAGATGTGGTATGAGTGCCTAAGAGACAACTCTCCATCCAAGTCACAATGTATAAAAATTCAAATTATAGGTCAAAGTAAGGTCCATTTAAATTAAAGTCCCATTCATTTTTGCCATTGAAAATAAAGATTTTAGAAACAATTTCAAATTTGTGACTCGGATCATAAATCCTAATTCCAGAACGAGAAACTACAAATAATATTTTTAAAATGTTTTGTTATGTTCTGTCCTTCTTCAGATTATTTGATTTTTTTTTTATTTCTAAATATACAATACAAATAATGTCATGGATTCATATGTGGATGCATACAAAATAAATGAATCCTTTACTTTACAGTAATTATTTTTTATTTTTGTGCATACCACACGTAAGTGAAATTTACACCACATGCCTATTAATAATGATGTGATTAATTTGTTAATTTGAAATAACATGCTCCGTTAGACGCAGCTGGATATACCACAGAGGTCAAACCCTGAACAGTTGGGGCAAGTATGGACACTACATTCAAGCTTGATACAGCTCTCAATACGGATTGTGATTTTAATAATTTTTGACACAGCAAAGGTTTCTGTCACAGAACAAATTTGGTCAAAGAACTGAAGAAAAAAAAATTGGATTTTACTTGTTATGGTCCAATTTCCAAAATCTAAATACACGGTTAGGATGGTTAGACTCAGCATATTCAAGTACACCAATAATTTAATTTATTTATTTATTAATGAACCATAATATCTTAGTACACCAAGATTTTTTATTTATTTAGTTGTTAATGGACAATTTTAGCTAAGTTTTAAAGTAGTTTGCATCATTAAAAATATATATATAACATTCTGAAAATTAATTTATATAGAATAATACTAAAATCTACCACGAAGTTCTTCAAAATAATGAAAAAAAAAATGAAAAAAATCAATTTCAAAAATAAAATTCATCATTAAAACAGTGTCTTTAAAATATCTATAAAACTTACCTCTTTTCAAAATATGTAATAATGAACAGTAAATTTCAAACTATATTCAAACATAATTTCTAAAATTAGAATATGATGCTATATCTATTTTTAACTATGACCCATTTTAATTTTTCTTTCTCTAAATCAAACAAAGCGAAATTTTGGAACCTATGGACCTTAATGTGGACCAACTTGAAAACAGGCCCCACAATCAAAAATCTAAATACCTGATTAGATTTGGCATATCTAAATAGACCAATAATTCAATTTTTGAAAAAAACAAACAAAGTTAAATTTTGGACCTTTGAACCTTAATATGGATAAATTCGAAAGCAGTCCCAAAATCCAAATAATAAGTACCCAATTAGATTCAGCATGTTAAAGAACCAAAAGAATTCAAGACTTTGAATTAAACTCCAATAAATTGCTAGAGAAATAATACAAATTATTAAAAAAAAACATTTTTGGCCCCTTTTAACTAAACCTTTAAGGTCATAACCCCTAAATTTAGTCCCAAACTTTATTTAATGGACACATTGTGGCACAATAAAATAGCAAAAAGTAGACTTATACTCAAATAAATGGGGATTGTGTCCATGGGACACATATGATGCCCCGCTTGCATATTAAATTATAAAGGGACATAACTCTCAAAAACGGTAAAAGTGACACTACCAAAATTTGAACTTAATCAGTGTTTTGTGGTAATAAGCATTGAGTATAAGTTTCATAACATTTGGTTGAGGCAAACTACAGCTGGAGAACAAAAACTAAATATTCACCAATTTTTCCATTTGTAAAGGTGCATAACTCTATAATGGTAAACGTGACGCTACTCAAATTCTAACTTGATCCGTGTTTTGTAGTAATAAGCATTGTGTATAAGTTTCATAACATTTGGTTATGGCAAACTAAAGTTAGAGAACAGAAACCAATTTTGGACGTATGGACTGACGTACAGACTGACAAGGATACAACTTAATGCCCCCTCCGATACGGCAGGGGCATAATTGTTGTCCAGAAAATCTTAATTTTTGTCCCCTTTTCGACCCCTTATTGGGTTTGGGCCATGACTTCCTAAAATTATTCAAAACTTTCCTTTTGAAGTATGGAACCTTGTGGTAAAATTTCATAGAGATCTATACTCTTATACTCTTATACACAAATTATTGTCCTGAAACATGAACATTACTTGTTTGTGGCCCCTAATTACTAAACAGCTATGACAAAAACCCTAAAAAATAAACCCCAACCTTCCTTTTGGGGTATGGAAACTTTTGCTAAAATTAACATACTTATAACTCAAGTCATTGTCTGTGAACCAAACACATATGTTTTTGTTAAGTCCTTTTTGGCCCCAAATTCATAAACAGCTACGACAATAACCCCCAAAATAAATAGCAACCCTCCTATTGTTGAATGGAACCTTGTCATAAAATTTCATACAGAGCCATACATTGCTACTAAAGTCTTTGTCTGTGAACCAATTTATTTTCTTTGAATCAGTAAAATGATTCATAACCTCTAAAATATATCCCTAACATTATTTTATTGTATAACACCTTTTGTGACAATGAAATAGCAATACACAGACTTGTACTCAAGGTAATTTCCTGAAACCAGAAAATCCTAGTTTTTGGCCCCTTTTCTGACCTTAATTATTAAACGGGTTGGACCATGATCCCAAAAATCAACCTGTTTTGCCCTTCATTCCTAAACAGCTACTTTATTAACCCCCACAATAAACTTAAACCTTCCTATTGTGGTATGAAAGCTTGTGCTAAAATTTAATAGAGATCCATACAATTATACTCAAGTTATTGCCTGCAAACCAACAAAATATATTTGTTTGTCCCCTTTTGACCCCTTATTATTTAACGACATTTACAACTCAAAGCAACCGCTTTATTGTTACATCTTAGTACCAAGTCTGTTGTGTCTCTAACAATCTGTAAATTTTGTAACATATTTGTGAATATTTCTATTTTTATAAAGTCAAAATATTTACCTTTAGGAAGTCCATCAATTCTTTCTTCTTCCTTTTTTTCTCTTCAGAGTCATATATTTCTATTGTTACCATATCATAAGGAGTCTGGCCCTGAAATACAATCAAATAATCTTTCATCAATCATACACATATACATCTTCTTGTAATGCAAAACTGTAAATAAAAGATAATAATTTTTGTGTGTGAAAAATATATGTGCTCAAACCATACGTCTGGTATTCTTGTTTGCGCTAAAGTCACAAGTTCAATAACACATGATAAAAATGCTAACATATGTTACTGTGGAGTGTCATTATTTGATTTTGTGTTCGAATCACATGGACAGTGAGTGTATAATTAGTCTAGTACATGCTGCATTTACAACCATTATGATATATGAGTAAAAGGCTGTTTGTGCTCTTTTCACAATCATAATGACACATGATGAAAACGGTGACATATGTGACTGTCGAGTATAATTAGTATAGTTTGTGCTCTATTCACAAGCACAATGACACCTGCATAAAAGTCTGAAATATGTGACTGTCGAGTATCATTATTCTTGTTTGTGCTATATGGTATTTGAGTTGGTAGTTAAAGATGTGTTCCTGGAGTATGATTAGATGGTAGATTTGGTAAGTTGGTAGTGTATAATTGGTGTTAGGTGTGTTGCTGGAGTATCAGGTGGTGTATGATTACATTGTTGTTGTGTTGGTGGAGTATGAGTGATGTAAATTGTGTTGGTGGAAGAAATGTTGACAGTGTATTATTGATGAAAGGTGTGTTATTAGTGTATGATTGGTAGAAGGTATGTTGGTAGTGTATGATTGGTGGAATGTATATTGTTAGTGGTATGATTGGTGGAAGGTATGTTGACAATGTATGATTGTTGGAAGGTATGTTGGTAGTGTATGATTGGTTGAAGGTATGTTAATAGTGTATGATTGATGGAAGGTGTATTGGGAGTGTATGATTGGTGACAGGTACATTGTATGTTGGCAGTGTATGATTAGTGGAAAGTATGTTGGCAGTGTATGATTGGCGGGAGGTGTGGTTGATAGTGAATGATTGGTGGTAGGTGATTTGGTAGCTTATGATTGGTGGAATGCGTTTTGGTAGTGTATGATTGTTGAAGGTGTATTGGCAGTGTATGACGGGTCATAGGTATTTTTGTATTGTATGATGGGTCATAGGCATGTTGGTAGTGTTTGCTTGTTGGAAGATGTCTTGGTAGTGTATGATTGGTGGAATGTATATTGTTAGTGTATGATTGGTGGAAGGTGTGTTGGTAGTGTATGAATGGTGGATAATGTGTTTGTAGTGTATGTTGGTTGAGTATGATTAGATTGTTGTTGTGTTGGTGGAGTTTCAGTGATGTAAAGTGTGTTGGTGGAGTATGCTTACATTATTGTTGTGTTGGTGGAGTATGAGTGATGTAAAGAGTGTTGGTGGTAGGTATGTTGATAGTATATGATTAATGGAAGGTGTATGTTAGTAGTGTATGATTTATGGAAGGTAAGTTTGTAGTGTATGCTTGTTGGAAGGTGTGTTGGTAGTGTATGATTGGTCGCTGGTAAGTTGGTAATGTATGATTGTTGGAAGGCATGTCGGTAATGTATGATTGGTGGATGGGATGTTGGTTGTGTATAATTGGTGGAAGTAGTTGGTAGTGTATGATTGGTGGAAGATAGGTTGGTAGTGTATGAATGGTGAAGTGTATGTTGGTAGCATATGATTGGTGGAAGGTGTGTTGGTAGTGTATGATAAGTTGAAAGTAAGTTGGCAGTGTATGGTTAGTGGAAGATAGGTTGGTAGTGTATGAATGGTGAAGTGTATGTTGGTAGCATATGATAGGTGGAAGGTGTGTTGGTAGTGTATGATTGATGGAAGGTATATTAGTAGTGTATGATTGGTGGAAGGTATGTTGACAGTGTATGATTGGTGGAAAGTATGTTAGTAGTGTATGATTGATGGAAGGTGTGTTGGTAGTGTAGTATTGGTGGAATGTATGTTGGAAGCATATGATTGGTGGAAGGTATGTTGGTAGTGTATGATTTGTGGAATGGTATGTGGGTAGTGTTTGCTTCTTGGAAGGTGTAATGGAAATGTATGATTGGCGGAGGGTATGTTGTTAGTGTATGATTGGTGGTTGGTATGTTAGTAGTGTATGATTCGTGGAAGGTATGTTGATAGTGTATGATTGATGGAAGTATGTTGGTATTGAATGATTGATGGAATGTATGTTGATAGTGTAGGATTGGTGGAAGGTGTGTAAGTAGTGTAGGATTGGTGGAAGGTATGCTAGTATTGTATTTTTTGTGGAAGGTATATTGGTAGTGTATGATTGGTGGAAGGTATGTTAGTAGTGTATGATTAGTGGAAGGTATGTTGGCAGTGTATGATTGGTGGAAGGTATGTTGATAGTGTAGGATTGGTGGAAGGTGTGTGAGTAGTGTAGGATTGGTGGAAGGTATGTTAGTAGTGTATTTTTGGTGAAGGTATATTGGTAGTGTATGATTGGTTGAAGGTATATAAGTAGTGTATGATTAGTGGAAGGTATATGTATGTTGGTAGTATATGGAAGGTATATTGGTAGTATATATTGGTAGAAGGTATGTTGGTAGTATATGATTGTTGGATGGTGTGATGGTAGTGTATGATTGTTGGATGGTGTGTTGGTATTTTATGAATATTGGATGGTGTGTTGTGGTAGTGTATGATTGTTGGATGGTGTGTTGGTAGTGTAGGATTGTTGGATGGTGTGTTGGTAGTGTAGGATTGGTGGATGGTCTGGTGGTAGTGTAGTTTTTCCGACTTATGTTGATAATTGTTAATCAAGTGACTGCACCATGTAAAATACTTTGATTGGATGTCAGTGTGTTAACATTTGATTGGTGAACTGTGGGTTGACATCATTTGTAATGTGGTTTGCTGGTTGGTAATCGTATAATTAATGTTTGTAAATCAAGTGACTACACCATGTTAAATACTTTGGTTACTTGTCAGTGTGTTAACATTTGATTGGTGATTTGAAGTATGATATGTGGGTTGGTATGATTAATGTTTGTCAATCAAGTGACTGCTCCATGTTAAATACTTGGTTCACATCATATCAAGTGCATTTTTGTTCTATATATCATTATAAAATGTATACATTTTTCATTAATAAATATAGTGAATAAGAATAAAACTGAATGTTACCTCATTTGTTTTCACCCAAGGACTGCATCCTTGATCTATTAACCATTTTGTTAAATCAATATGTCCATCCATAACAGCAAAATGTAAAGCTGTTATTTCATCCTATGACAATATGAAAATATAAACATGGTAATGTGTTGTGATAATAAATCAAGAGAGGAGTCAAACAATTAATCTAAATGTAAAAAGTATAATATCGGGTAAGAAAGAAAAAACGCTAAATTGTAGATTAAGATATATACACTAAATATATGTTTTCTGATCCAGTTCAACAAAACAGGAAACATCACAATAAAACTCACTTAATTTAAGTCTAACAATTCAAAGTTTAAATATTTGTTGTCCATCTAACATGTCTGAATAACAACATGATTTTGTGTTGATTCTGTTTAATGATCAAAGTTGAAAACAAAACGTTTTCAAGAATCATTAAAAAGACAGGAATGAGACCCACGTTATATAATTCTGTTAAGTATTTGTTATTTTTAAAAGATGTTTTACATTAGATCTTTGACATGATCACTATAAAGATGTTAACACAACTCATTCTCACAAATGTCCCATTGAATTCAATTGTTCACAAAATAATGTTTCTTCAAGAAACAAAATTAAAACTTTACTATCTGATTCAGTTCTGTGTTACGAATAAAATGAGACCCCACTTTATATAATTCTAACAAATATTTGTTTTCCATTAAACCTGTCTGACTAACAACATGATTTTGTGTAGATTCAGTATAAAGTGGAGTTTGATCAGAGTAAGGAGATAATATCTGGCATTACATAGCCTGTAGCTTCTAGCTGACTGCCCTGAGTTACCAGATACTTCACCACCTCCAGATGTCCATTACCAGCAGCTATCATTAATGTTGTGTTTCCCTCCTGTAATATCATCATATAACAGACATCAAAACTTGTGTCATCATTAACTAGACAATGTTGTGTAACAAATATAAAATATATATTACATGAATCAGTGGTCTTGATCTTGATAAAATGACCATTCACACTTGTTTTTATATTTGAAAAAAACTAAAAAACCAACATGTTTTATTGTGAAATATCAGAACTTCCATCAAAACTGTCAGGTTAAAAAAAACTGTTTTCAAGAAAAATAAACAATATTAATATCAATGAACTCAGCTGAACAAGACAATTAAAATAAGACCCAACTTTATATGATTCTAAAAAGTATGCGTTTTCCACTAAATATATCTAATCAACAATGATTCCGAAGAATGACAAAATGAAAAAACTTTTTTCAAGATAAATAGAATGATCAAGTAATATTTTCTAATTGAGTACGACGAGACAGGAAAAATAAGACCACACTTTATATAATTCTGTGAAATATTTTGTTTTACATTAGATCTGTAGAATTAATATTATCTGACTAAAGATGTTAACACAACTTCTTCTCAAAAACTTAATAAAAGATCAAATATTAACAAAATTATTTTTTGTCAAGAAACAAAATGAAACCTTTACTATCTGAATTGGTTCTGTGTTACGAATACAATGAGACCTCACTTTATATAATTCTAACAAATATTTGTTGTCTATAAACCTGTCTGAATAACAACATGATTTTGTGTAGATTCCCTATAAAATGGAGTTTGGTCAGAGTAAAGAGATAATATTTATCATTACGCAGTCTGTAGCTTCTAACTGACTGCCCCGAGTGACAAGATACGTCACCACCTCCAGGTGTCCGTACCAAGAAGACAAAACTAATGGTGTCATTCTACCCTGTAATATCAACATATAACAGACATCAAAACTTATGTCATAAACTGGACAATATTGTGTAATAAATATAAACACAATATATATATCACATGAATCAGTGGTCAAAACTGAAAAAATGACCAGTCACACTTGTATTTATATTCTACATAAACAACAAATAAACAACATGTTTTATTGTGAGATATCAGAACTTACATCAGAACTGTCAGGTTAAAAGGATTTTTTTTTCCAGAAACACAAACAATATTCATATCAATGGACTCAGCACGACAATTAAAATGAGAACCCACTTTATATAATTCTAAGAAGTATTTGTTGTTATTTATCAAATCTGTCTGATTAACAATGATAAATGATCAAAGTTAAAAAAATAACAATTTAAATAAAAAATAAAAACGAGTTATATTTCTTAATTCAGATTAATGAGACAGGAAAAATGAGACCCCACTTTATATAATTTTAACAAGTTTTTGTTGTCCATTACACATGTCTGATTAACAGTATGTTGTGTTGATTTAGATTAATGATCAAAGCTTAAAAAGTATTCAGTGGTATTTCCATGTAAAATGTTTGTTTGGTGTATAACAGTTGCTTCATATCAAATGTGATGTTGCATATTATGGTAATATAGCAATGGCTTATGTTTGTGTTGAGTATAAGTGCAGAACTTCAATAAGCCATGTTTGTATGTTTTGGTTTGCGTTGCCTATAAATGTGATATGTCACTTGTTTTTGAGGAATGTAAGAGTTTCATTGCTATGTCACATGCTGGTGTTGATTATAAGAGTGTAATTGTTATGCCACATGTTTGTGCTGAGTATAAGAGTGTTTTTGCTATATAACATGAGTGTGCTGAGTATAAGAGTGTCATTGCTATGTCACATGTTGGTGTTAAGTATAGGAGTGGTATGGCTAGGATTCATGATTGTGTTGAGTATAAGAGTGTCATTGCTATGTCATTTGTTGGGGCTGAGGATAAGCATTCAGGGTTATGTCACGTGTTGGTGTTGAATATAAGAGTGTCATTGCTATGCCACATGTTGGAGTTGAGTATAAGATTGTTTTTTGCAATGTCACATGTTGGTGTTAGTATGTCATTGCTATGTCACATGTTGATGTTGATTATACGAATGGTATAGCTTGTCACATGTTGGTGTTGAGTGTCAGAGTATTATTGTTATGCCATATGTGTGTGTTGAGTATATTAAAGAGTGTCATGGCTATGTCGTATGTTGGTGTTGAGTATAAGATTATCATTGCTATGTCATATGTGCGTGTTGAGTATAAAATTGTCCTTGTTATGTCACACGTTTGTGTTGAGTATCAGAGTGTTATTGCTATGTCACATGCTGGTGGTGAGTATAAGAGTGTCTGTGCTATGTCACATGTTTTTGTTGAGTATGATAGTGGCATTGCTTTGTCAGATATTTGTGTCGAGTATAAGCATATGCATGCCATGGCCATGTAATATAATTGTGTTAAGTATAACAGTGTAACGGATATACCACCTGTTTGAGTTTAAGAGTGTCATTGTTATGTGACATGTTGGTGTTGGGTATAAGAGTGGCATTGCTCTGTCAAATGAATGTTGTATGATCAGGTGTCACATATCATGTTCAGTACATGAGTGGTAAATGCATGTTGTATGATCAGGTGTCACCTGTCGTGTCCAGAACAGAAGTGGTAAATGAATGTTCTATGATCGGGTGTCTCATGTCATGTGTCATGTACAGTACAGGAGTGGTATATGTATGTTGTCAGGCATTACATATCATTTTCAGAACAGGAGTGGTATATGTATGTTGTATGATCAGGTGTAACATATCATGTACAGTACAGGCATGGCGAATGATTGTTGTATGATCAGGTATCACATATCATGTTCAGTGCAGAAGAGGTAAATGAATGTTGTTTTATTAGGTATCACATGTCATTTTCAGTGCAGGAGTGGTAAGTAGATGTTGTATGATCAGGTGTCACATGTCATGTTCAGTACAAGAGTGGTAATGAGTGTTGTACACTCAGGCGTCACATGTCATGTTCAGTAGAGGAGTGGTAAATGAACGTTGTATGATCATGTGTCACATGTCATGTTCAGTAGAGGAGTGATAAATACATGTTGTATGATCAGGTGTCACATGTATGTTCAGTACAAAAGTGGTAATGAGTGTTGTACACTCAGGCGTCACATGTCATGTTCAGTAGAGGAGTGGTAAATGAATGTTGTATGATCATGTGTCACATGTCATGTTCAGTAGAGGAGTGGTAAATACATGTTGTATGATCAGGTGTCACATGTATGTTCAGTACAAGAGTGGTAATGAGTGTTGTACAATCAGGAATCAAAAGTCATGTTTGGTACAGTAGAGGTAAATGCATGTTGTATGATAAGGTGTCACATGTCATGTTCAGTACATGATTGGTAAATGCATGTTGTATGATAAGGTGTCACATGTCATGTTCAGTACATGATTGGTAAATGAATGTTGTATGATCAGGTTTCACGTGTCATGTTCATTCCAGAAGTGGTAAATGCAAGTTGTATGATTAGGTGTCATATATCATGTTCAGTACAGAAGTTGTATATGTAAGATGTGTAATCAGGTGTCACATGTCATGTTCAGTACGGGATTGGTCAATGTATGTTGTATAATAAGGTGTCACGTGTCATGTTCAGTACAGGAGTAATAAATGTATATTTTATGAACCAGTGTCTTATGTCTTGTGCATTATAGATGTGGTAAATCAGTATTAGTTTTTATCATTCAAAGTTGTAAGTAAAGTGTTTGTATGTTAAGAACAGAAATTGTTTACATTTGTATTGTGTAAGGAAGAACTGATATATATCATGTCTTGTGTTATGATGTATTGTGTAAGTAGGAAATGATATATCGAATGTCTTGTGTTATGATGTATTGTGTAAGGAAGTACTGATATATATCATGTCTTGAGTTATGTATTGTGTAATGGAGTACTGGCATATCTCATGTCTGGTGTTATGCTGTATTATGTAAAGACGAACTTATCTATCATTTGTCTTTTGTAATGATGTATTATGTAAAAATGAACTGATATATATCATGTTTTGTGTTATGATGAATTGTTGAAGGAAGTACTGATATATCTCATGTCTTGTGTTATGATGTATTGTGTAAGGAAGTACTGATATATCATGTCTTGTGTTATGATGTATTGTGTAAGAATGTACTGATATATTTCATGTCTTGTGTTATGATGTATTGCGTAAGGAAGAACTGATATATTTCATGTCTTGTGTAATGATGTATTGTGTAAGGAAGAACTGATATATCTCATGTCTTGTGTTATGATGTATTGTGTAAGGAAGTACTGATATATCTCATGTCTTGTGTTATGATGTATTGTGTAAGGAAGAACTGATATATCTCATGTCTCGTGTTATGATGTATTGTGTAAGGAAGAACTGATATATCTCATGTCTTGTGTTATATATTCAAAACAACATAACACAAGACATGAGATATATCAGTACTTCCTTACACAATTCATCATGACACAAGACATGAGATATATCAGTTCTTCCTTACACAATTCATCATAACACAAGACATGAGATATATCAGTTCTTCCTTACACAATTCATCATAACACAAGACATGAGATATATCAGTTCTTCCTTACACAATTCATCATAACACAAGACATGATATATATCAGTATTTTTGTTATTTTACTTTCTTGCTGTTGTGTTTTGTATTTGTCTTTCCACCATGTTATTCTTCTTCCACTTATGTGTTTTGATTGCCTACTTGGTATTTTGTGTACGGAGTTAAGTACACAAAATACCAAGTATTGTATTGTGTAACAATGTTTCTTATTTCTTATGTAAAATACAGAAATACATGTAATAAACAATAAATATGTTTAACAATGAATCGCTCAGAACAAACAAGGGTGATTTATATATGATTGACTGCGGTGTTCTGTTAGTAAATACCTTTATATGTTTTAAATATTTCTACTTTACTTACAAATTCACCTTTATATTCCAAATTAGCTCCATTTTGTAAAGATAATTCCACATCTTTAAGATTTCCCTCCTGAGCAGCATCACAAAGTTTCTATAAGTTAAAAAAAGCTTAAGCATTTCTCTCCAGTACATAATAATGTATGATAAATGTAATCATTCAAATAAACAAACTACTTTTAGTTATTCTGCATATAATGTTCACTTTTACAGTTTGCATTGCAAATGCAGTGACTATCATCTGACTAAGACAGTAAAACCGCTGTTTATATTTTTTTCAGAGAAGAAAAAAACTTTGGATGATTGTATAATATATCTGGATTTTGACATTAACATTCTTATAACTTTTGTCATTTTGATTGTCTTCTATTTTCCCTCTATGAATACAATGAACTACACATGTGTCTTTCTGTACAGTTTATAAACAAAATAGGTCAAATGACCAGTGAACTGTTAAGAGGAAAATCTTACCTGACCCCAATATTCCATTATATCCTGTAAAAAGAAAAGAAAACATTTTAAACAAATATCACTGAAGAGAAAAAAAAGTTTGTTTAATAAAAAAATGACAAAAAATGTTATTGTTGCCTTATTTAAAAACATAGAAAAAAAGTTGGAGATCATGTATGTTTATCAACTGAAATAGAAGAAAAGAACTCTGACTGAAAAGTGAGAGGAGCTAGAGTATAAGATTTGGTTCTATTATCAAGTCATTAAATAGCATTTATAATTGCATCAAATGTACATAGTATCACTATCGGTATAAAAGTTCTATGATTTATAATATCAGCACCCCAATAGTCATTTACCTAGGAGTTCGACCATACTCAATATGAAGTTACATGCATGTAGTTAGTTTGAAGTTCAACTTAAACTATTTAGTATTCAGCAACACAAAGGCAAACTTATAAATGACCAATGAAATAAAAAAAAAAGCAAATATTATTAAAGTCAAAGAGACAACAATCCAATGAGGATAAAATATCACCAAAGGGTATCCATGGTTCTTACAAAAATGTACATCAACAGCCATGGTCATGGCACCTTCATACCAAAGGGTAAGCTGAAGATGGTCCCTATTCTTTAAACAGAATTATATACTGGTTCACCGAATATTTACATTGGTGGGGATGGGATCAACAAAGGAACCTAAGAGCTAAGAGAGGAGGAATGCTTCCAAATTCGTATTTATAAGTGGACTTTTCCCCTCAAGTTTTACTGAAAAAAACAGGGAGGAGGGTGAATGTCAAGGCTAGAGAAAAGGTTGTATTTTTTATAAGTAATATTTTTTCCCTTGCTTATTATTAACCCACTATTTAAAAAAAACTACCAAAGCTAGGATGGGTCCTGCCTGTGAAGATTAGAAGTGTTTAAGTAGTGTATTTATACGCAGGTTTACGGGACTTACTATGGTATACCGTTGTCCTTCCGTCTTACCGTCCGTCCGTCGTCAACATGTCGGACAATAACTCAAAAACGCTTGAACTAATTCGCATGAAACTTTGGTGAATTGTTTATATTTATTGACGTGAGCTCCCTTTTGATTTTTATACATTTTAGATTTAAATTTTCCGAGTTTTAGGGGTTTTTTTTTCATTACAAAAAGGGGGATTTTTCAGTTTTCGGACAAGAAATCAAAAACACTCACCAAATTGCAAGAAACTTTGGTGAATTCTTTATATCTATTGACATGAGCTCCCTTTCGATTTTTATTAATTTTCGATTTTACGTTTCCGGGGTTTTATTCACTTAAAAGGGGGGATTTTCAAGTTTTAGGACAATAACTCAAAAATGCCTTCAGCAGTTTTCATGAAACTTTAGTGAATTGTTTATATCTAATGACATAAGCTCCCTATCGATTTTAAAAAGAAAATAGATTTTCCGTTTCCGAGTTATGTGATTTTATTCATAAAGAAAGTTTTTGTTTCCCAGTTTTCGGAGAACGCTTTTATCAGTTATCATGAAATTTTGGTGACTGTTTTATATCTATTACAATAACCTCTCTTTAGTTTTACAAGAATTTCTGATATGACATTGAACTTTAAAAAAGCAACGGGCGTATTGTGCGCTCATGGAAGCTGTTTATTGTTTATCCTGGCCTCTTCCTTAGCACACGAACAGATAAAGGCAGCTTATGCATTGTGTTATGTTTCCAGTGGGGGATCAAGAATATTTTATAAGGGGGCACTGACAGCCATAAGAGGGGGCCCGCTACAGTCATGCTTCAGATTTCCCTATATAATCAACCATTTTTCCCGCACAGGGGGACCCGGGCCACTCAGGGTCCCCCTGGAACCGCCTATGATTTCATATAAAAAATAAAAAAAGTAATGTTGTATGATTGCTAATGAGACAATTATCTACCAAAGTTCAAATGAAGTGGATGTATCAATTAAAAGGCAACCATACGACCTTCAACAACGAGAAAACCCGAAACCATATAGTCATCTATATAAGGCCATGATATAAAATGTTTGGATAGATTATTTTTGTGTGTTTAGGTTATTTCTAGATTCTTTTTTGGTATCATAATTAATGCTGCCCCTCCACTGCTTTCTTACTTTTTGTAAAATCTGGCAATACCATTACAATTTTAAGATCAAAATTGATATATTTTTATTTGGATTTTTAAAATAAGCAAAATCACAAGAATGACCTTACAAGCAGAAAAAAAGATAACATTACTATAAAACCTCATTCTTTAAGCACTTGTATGTAAATAGTCTGAAAATGCCTCAGAGTGCACCATTGTCAATGTAAGGTAAATCAACAATTCGGGGAGCAATTACCCTAGCCCCCTTTTTTTGATCAGCTGCTTTAAATAAATAAACAGTCTGTTCATTGAAAAGATATTTAGACCCCTGACATGGCAAACTATCAATCAAATTGAAAATTGAGAAAGTTGATTTGATTATCTCCGCTTTAACATGTTAGACCATTTGACACAATATCTGTCCAGCTGTGACACTGACAAAGCACACAGACATATGGACAGAATATTGAAGAAAGTTGATTTGATTATCTCCCCTTTAACATTTTATATAAAAAAAGAAGATGTGGTATGATTGCCAATGAGACAACTCTCCACAAGAGACCAAATGACACAGAAATGAACAACTTTATGTCACCATACGGCCTTCAACAATGAGCAAAGCCCACACTGCACAGTCAGCTATATAAGGTCCCTAAATGACAAATGTAAAACAATTCAAACGAGAAAACTAACGGCCTAATTGATGTCCAATAAAATGAAGGAAAAAAAAAAAAACAAATATGTTACACATCAACAAACGACAACCACTGAATGACAGGCTTCTGACTTGAGACAGGCACATACATACAGAATGTGGCGGGGATAAACATGTTAGCGGGATCCCAACCCTCCCCCTAACCTGGGACAGTGGTGTAACAGTACAACATAAGAACGAACTATCAAAATCAGTTGAAAAGGGCTTAACTCATCATATGGACACAAATAGAAATATATCTAACAAAAAACACTGCGTGAATGTGGCAGGGTACTTGTATATCCCAACATCAAAAAGTACAGATCTGATAGTACTCGCAGTTACTGACAGCTACTTCAAAGCCACTAACAACTCATAAAAAAATCATGCATCTAAGACTAAATTATCAATCAGTACACATCCAACATCCAATGAATTTAGTGTAAAGACGTCATAAACAGTCAGAGAAAATGATGACCTTGTGCAATGCCAAGATTCAGGTATCGACAGATTGTAGATCCATGAATGTGTATTGTATATAACAATAATATTTAGTTTGCTTTTAATTTACTGAATATAAAATCAATATTAATACTAACTAGAGGCTCTCAAGAGCCTGTGTCGCTCACCTGATTCTACTTTGGTTTTGGAAATCATGTAAAAATAGATTAAAATCATAAAAGATACACTAATAATGAGTGAGGCCAAATTTGGTTTAATATTGGTCCTGTAATTTAATAAAAATCCTGGTGGCCATCTTGAACAGAAAATCGGCAACAAAGAAGCATTACTTAATCAGCACCTCATAAGAAACATTTATGCCATGTTTTGGTTTCATTCCATTCAGTGCATCTCTAGAAGAAGCATTTGTATGTATTTCCCATAGGGTCTTATGTTAAAGGAAGTCCCCCCCATTGGCGGCCATCTTGGATGAAGGATCAGCTTCAAAGTAACAAAACTTAGTCAGCACCTCATAAGGAACATTCATGCCATGTTTGGTTTCAATCCATTCAGTATGTGGATCTCTAAAAGAAGACATTTGTATGTATTGTCCATAGGGTCCTTTGTTAAACATTGTCCCAATCTGGCAGCCATCATTAATGAAGGATCAGCTTCAAAGTAACAACACTTGGTCAGCACCTCAAAAGGAACATGCATGCCATGTTTGGTTTCATTCTATTCAATGGTTCTCTAAAAGAAAACATTTGTACGTATTTCTCATAGGGTCCTATGTTAAACTAAGTCCCCCGCTGGCAGCCATCTTGGATTATGGATCGGCTTCAAAGTAACAACACTCGGTCAGCACCTCATAAGGAACATTCATGCCATGTTTGGTTTCATTCGATTCAGTGGTTCTCTAAAAGAAGACATTTGTTTGTATTTCTCATAGGGTCCCATGTTAAACTAAGTTCCCTGCAGGCGGCCATCTTGGATTATGGATCAGCTTCATAGTAACAACACTTGGTCAGCACCTCATAAGGAACATTCATACAATGTTTGGTTTCATTCCATTCAGTGGTTCTCTAAAAGAAGACATTTGTATGTATTTCCCATAGGGTCCTATGTTAAACTAAGTCCCCCGCTGGTGGCCATCTTGGATTATGGATCGGCTTCAAAGTAACAACACTCGGTCAGCACCTCATAAGGAACATTCATACAATGTTTGGTTTCATTCCAATCAGTGGTTCTCTAAAAGAAGACATTTGTATGTATTTCCCATAGGGTCCTATGTTAAACTAAGTCCCCCGCTGGTGGCCATCTTGGATTATGGATCGGCTTCAAAGTAACAACACTTGGTCAGCACCTCATAAGAAACATTCATGCCATGTTTGGTTTCATTCCATTCAGTGGTTCTCTAAAAGAAGAGATTTGTATGTATTTCCCATAGGGTCCTATGTTAAACTAAGTCCCCCGCTGGTGGCCATCTTGGATTATGGATCGGCTTCAAAGTAACAACACTCGGTCAGCACCTCATAAGAAACATTCATGCCATGTTTGGTTTCATTCCATTCAGTGGTTCTCTAAAAGAAGACATTTGTATGTATTTCCCATAGGGTCCTATGTTAAACTAAGTCCCCCGCTGGCGGCCATCTTTGATGATGGATCCGCTACAAAGTAACAACACTTGGTCAACACCTCATAAGGAACATTCATGCCATGTTTGGTTTCATTCCATTCAGTGGTTCTCTAGAAGAAGTTCAAAATGTAAAAAGTTAACGCCGACGACGGACGACGCCGGACGACAGACGCCAAGTGATGAGAAAAGCTCA